GTAACGTAAATTGGTTTTTTTTATATTATTTTTGTACAGAATAAAGGCAAAGCAGCAGCTACTTTGGTGTGGGATTTCACAGCTGTGTTACAGAGATGGAGGAAGAGTTACAGGAACTCAGGGACTTGATCGCGCAGCTGAAAGCAGACAATGAGAGGCTGCGTCAGGAGAGGGCTGTTGGGCCAGGTACTAGTGCTACACCTTCTACTTCAACTGCATCATCTGTTAACCCCCCAACGGCTGGTGTCTCTGTAGCAGAGAGACTAGTTTTTGTGCCCCGTGACAGAAAGTGCCCTATGTTTAGAGGAAAATCAGGTATAGGGTTGAATGAATGGTTGGAGGAAATAGAAGGTTGTGCTAGAGCACGTCATTTGTCTTTGGCTGATAAAGCATTTTTCCTGTTTGACCACCTAGAAGGGGAAGCACGTGAGGAGATCAAATATCGCTCTAGTGCAGAGAGGACTGATCCTGCTAAGATAATCACTATATTGCAAGAACTGTATGGCTGTTCAGACTCCTATGTAGCATTGCAGGAAGCTTTCTTCTCTAGAAAACAGCAGGAAAGTGAGACGCTGCAAGAGTTTTCCCTCGCTCTCTTGGGTCTTATGGAGAAAGTTAAATCGAGTGCCCCTAATGGCATGCCCAATGCTGACGTTTTATTAAGAGATCAATTTGTTGAACAGGTCTTAGATAGTACCTTGCGGCGGGAGTTAAAGCAGCTAGTAAGGAGGCAGCCAACACTGACATTGCTGGAGATTAGAGGGGAAGCTATTAGGTGGGAACGTGAAGGGTTGCCTAGTGGCGTTAGGCATAGAAGCAGTTCTGTCCCTTCTGTTTATGGCATTCAGTATGGGGTCCATAGCGGTCCTTCAGGAATAGCCCAGTCTACCCAATTGTCTGAGATGAGCGAGATGAAGGAATTGTTAAAGTGCCAGCAGGAGCAACTTAATCAGCTCACTCAGAGCATTGCTCGATTGCAGGGCCCCCATCGAATGCCTCGCTCAGGACGGGGCGACTCCATTATATGCCGTCATTGTCAGCAACCTGGACATGTTGCTCGGGAGTGTGATGGGGAACGCGTCCCTCGTTCCCGGCCTCCTTCGCAGGCCCCTCTGCATAATCGCAGGCACTCTCCTTTAAATACGGCTTCGGAAAACTAGCACCCTCCGTATTGCCGAGCCACAGTTCGGGTGGGGTGTCTATTGGCTCAAGGGTTGCTTCTAATGGTCCAGAGGCAGTCTCCAAATTAATTTCATCCTGTCCTCATATAGATGTGGACATGGGCGGTATAAAAGTACCTTGTTTGGTTGATACGGGGTCCATGGTCTCTACCATTACTGAAAGTTTTTTCCGCCAGCATTTTGAGTCCTGGGGTCAAGAGCGTCTCCAAGCTTGTCATTGGTTGCAGCTTAAAGCGGCTAATGGGTTGTCCATTCCTTACCTTGGCTATATCGAGCTAAGTGTAGAGCTCTGTGACAAGTTTTTTCCACAGTGTGGCGTGTTGGTCGTTAAAGATCCTCCAGGTGCAGGACCTTCCACGGTTCCGGGTGTATTGGGGATGAATGTCATTCGGAAGTGTTACCACGAGCTTTTTGGGCAACACGGTGAAGCATTGTTTAGTTTGGGCTTTGCCACAGAGGTTCCTAAACCCCTTGTGCAGGCACTGCAAAAGTGCCATGACGTTAGTATAAGAGCCCCACTGGATTTGTCTGGCCATGTGAGAGTGAGGGGTAAGCGAGCATGTTGCATTCCGGGTGGTGTAATGAAAGTAGTGGCCGCCACCTGTTCTGAGCAATATTCAGGTGCCACTGTGTTATTTGAACCTACTGATGTTAACTTGCCTGCTGGACTTTTAGCGTCCCCTGCATTGGTTCGAGTGGTTAGAGGTACTGCATACATACCAGTTGTTAATGTAGGGACTACGGCGGTCTTGCTTTACCCTAGGACCGTTATAGGGACCCTGGAAGATGTTCATGTGGTCAGTTTGCCCGCTGGTGTGACAGAAGTACTCCCTAACGTAGCCACAATGGCATCTCACACCGCCACTCCTACTGTGCAGGATCAGATGGAAGGGATTGATTTGTCTAAACTGTCAGCAGAGGAACAGGGACAGGTGAGGTTTCTCCTTAAGAAATACAGCTCTGTCTTTTCTGCTCATGACACTGATTTGGGTTGCACTAACTTGATCTCCCATGACATTCCAGTCTTAGACGATATCCCCGTGCGGCAGCGTTATAGGCGCATCCCCCCTTCAGAGTACGAGGTTGTGAAAGAGCATATTAACCAGTTGTTAGGGGCCGAGGTGATTAGAGAGAGTAGCAGCCCCTATGCTTCTCCCATTGTGCTCGTTAAGAAGAAGGATGGCAGCCCGCGCATGTGTGTTGATTATCGGCAACTGAACAACAAGACAAGGAAAGATGCATTCCCCTGCCGCGCATTGAAGAATCCTTAGATGCGCTGACTGGTGCCCGTTGGTTTTCCACCATGGATTTAGCAAGTGGCTATAATCAGGTCCCAGTTACGGAAGAGGATAGGCCCAAGACTGCCTTCTGTACTCCTTTCGGCCTATTTGAATGGAACCGAATGCCATTTGGGCTCTGTAATGCCCCTAGCACCTTCCAGAGACTAATGCAACGCCTTTTCGGTGATCAACAGTGCCAGTCTCTGCTTCTCTATCTTGATGACATTGTAATCTTTTCATCAACAGTATCGCAACATCTTGAGCGGCTGGATGTGGTGCTAGGTCGGCTTCAGCAGGAAGGTTTAAAAGCCAAGCTTGCCAAATGTGCCTTTTTCCAGCGGGAGGTTCGCTACCTAGGCCATGTCATCTCTGATCAAGGTGTCTCTACGGACCCTAGCAAGGTGGAAGTGGTGGCTAACTGGCAGCCTCCTAAGACTGTTTCGGAACTACGCTCCTTCCTTGGGTTTGCCAGCTATTATCGCCGTTTTGTGGAGGGTTTTGCCAAGTTGGCGGCACCTCTGCATAGACTGGTGGCAGAGTGGGGAGGCAGAAAATCAAAGAAGAGGTCAGAGCATGGTGTCGTGGAGAACTGGACTGCAGAGTGTGCTCAAAGTTTTGAGGCATTAAAGACTAAACTGACAACAGCACCAGTGCTCGCTTATGCAGATTTCTCTTTGCCTTTTATTTTAGAAGTGGATGCCAGCCATGCCGGCCTAGGGGCAGTGCTTTCCCAGGAGCAGGGAGGTAAAGTGAGGCCAATAGCCTATGCCAGTCGGGGTTTGAGGCCCACTGAGCGCAATATGCTAAATTATAGCTCAATGAAGCTGGAGTTTTTGGCACTTAAGTGGGCCATGACTGAGAAATTTAGAGAGTACTTGTTGGGCCATAAGTGTATTGTTTACACCGACAACAATCCTCTTAGTCACTTGTCTTCTGCTAAACTTGGGGCTACTGAACAGCGCTGGGCAGCTCAGCTCGCTTCGTTCGACTTCGACTTAAAGTACAGGTCAGGAAGGAGTAATAAGAACGCAGACGCTTTATCTCGCCAGCATCCACCTGATCCTCAGGAGATTAAAGCCATGGTTCCTGGTACAGCCTTGCCTGGACCTCTTCAACAAGCCTTGCGGCTGGGACCAGCTGAGGTATCACAAGCTGCCATTACAGTTCTGCCCCATCTCACTACTCCTGATCTTCATACCCTCCAACAGGTCGACCCAGTGATAAAAGAGATCTTGGTGTTCTGGAGACGGAAGCAGCGACCCAGCTTTGAGGAGCGGCAGCAGCTTGCTCCACCTGCTCTGGTGCTGCTACGACAATGGGATCGTCTGATCGAAAGGGAAGGAGTTCTGTATCGTCAGGTTCATCGCCCTGACGGTGCCGAGGTGGTACTTCAGCTTTTGCTGCCTAGTGCACTAATTGAGCAGGTGTTGACTCATGTTCATCAGGACCATGGCCATCAAGGGGTGGAAAGGACCCTAGCGCTTCTCCGCTCACGGTGCTACTGGCCCGGTATGTCTGCTGAGGTAGCTCGTTGGTGTCAGAGATGCGAACGCTGCCAAGTTGCAAAAGACACCCAACCAGCAGCTCAAAGTTTCATGGGACATTTGTTGGCTTCTCGACCAAATGAAATCTTGGCCATTGATTTCACCTTGCTCGAACCTTCCCGGAATGGGCTGGAGAACGTTTTGGTGATGACTGATGTTTTCAGCAAGTATACATTGGCTGTCCCCACTCGTGACCAATGTGCTGCTACAGTGGCCCAGGTTCTCGTGACTGAGTGGTTTTCGAAGTTTGGTGTACCAGCGCGTATCCATTCCGATCAGGGTCGTAACTTTGAAAGCTCCCTGATCCAGCAGCTCTGCAGGTTTTATGGTATCGAGAAGTCCCACACTACTCCTTATCATCCGGCTGGAAATGGTCAGTGTGAACGTTTTAATAGGACTTTGCACAATTTGTTGCGGACCCTGCCAGTATCCAGAAAAAGAGACTGGAATGTATGTTTGCCCCAGTTACTCTACTGTTATAATACCACTCCCCATCAGGCTACTGGGGAAACCCCATTCTTATTGATGTTTGGGCAAGAACCCAGGTTGCCAGTGGACTTTCTGTTGGGCAGAGTACCGGACCCCATCAGTGGAGATGTGCACGAGTGGATTCAGGAGCATCAAGCCCGGCTACAGGTTGTACATGAAGGAGCCAAAGAACGATTGCAATTGGCTGCCGACCGCAGAAAGAGGCACCATGATAAAAAGGTGAAAGAGGCACCATTGAACAATGGCCAGTTGGTGTTCCTGCGCGATCTGAGTGGAAGAGGGAGATGTAAAATCCAAGATAAATGGAAACCCGTGGTATATAGAATCCTGAAGGCACCTAGAGGAGGTGGGGCAGTATATACCATTGCACCTGCAGATGATCCCAGCAGTGTGAAGCATGTTCATCGTACCTTGTTGAAGGCTGTGGTAATGGCAGCTACACCATCAGAAGGGCCTGCTCTAAGCAGTAGCTCACATGGCCCAGAAATATCCTCCCCAGAACCAGGACATGACTCATCACGTGACAGTGACCTGTTATTCCTGAGCATAGGAGCTCCTCAAGTAAATGTTTCACCATCTTACAGCCCAGTGGCAGTGATTCCAAGTAGCCCTGAGTTGTTGCTTCCACCAGAAGACCGAACTTCCGATGTTCCAGCCACTTGTACAGTTACTCCGAGTGTAGCACCAGTTCCATCTAGCTCTCTTCCTGCTCCCTCTACGAGTTCTGATACAAGAAATGTGGTGGTGCGAAAAACAACCCGGTCCACAGCTGGCCAGCATTCAAACATCCATCATCTCCCAAGACCAACAGGGGAGGTGGCACAAGGGGCTGCTAACTCTATTTCTGAGCCTAGGGTACATGCTGTCTCTGCATTTTTTAGGCCTTGGGACTAATCTGGGTGTCTTTGTAATTCATCGTCGGGGCGACGATGCAAGAAGGAGGGGTAGAATGTGGCAGGATGAATGTTATCCCTCGGTCCAACCCACTTTCAGCCTGGCCCATTAGGGGGCGCTGGTATAAATAGTGGCCATTTGAGTGTCTCTGCATTGCTTGCCTGTGATCTCCTTTTTGGTCACCTGACTTCCTCGGTGTGGTAGAGATCGTTTGTGGGTTACTCCTCTAAAGTCTCCATCGCGGCTGGTCGTAGCTATAGAAGCCTCCTCTGAGCTATTCTGCTTACATTCTATGACCCGGCTTACTTGGTATGTAATCAACTTTTGTTACGCTCTCTGCCTTCTATTGTTCTTTTATAGTAATTATTTATTATGTTTCGCAGGAAGAGTGGGCCTTAGTTTTGCGCCAAGCTACGTGAACTGAAGTGCTGCTGTTTTGCCTTGCTGTGCTTTTACTGTCTGTTCCCGTTGTGAGAATTCTTCCCTGCTGCTGTCAGCTTTTACAGTGGACGTCGGCGTGGACAACGGCCATATGCATGCCGGTTATCGGAGTCAGCTGGCGTGCATATTGATTGACTGTTAACTTATCGTCGTGTGGACGGCAAGTTGGAGCAGTACGGCGATTCCGTTTGCTCCAGATTTTAGAGTTTTATTCAGATTGTATGTGGTTTTATTGCTTTTTGATTTGTAGTTTGGATTTTCTGTTACACCACTGGTGGGAGGCCCTTTTTCTAGCTGTGGATCACCAGTGTGGTCTTGCAGTTGGGTTATCCCCCGGTGCTACACATTAGTTTGTTGTAATATATTAAAATTTTCTTTGTTTCTTTTATTCAGATGCGGAGTGCCGACGTGGAGGAGACTAGGGTGCCTTGGTGGTGGGATCCCTTGAGTGTACACACCTGCCTTGTTTAGTTTATTAGTGTGAGTGTGTGTGATAGTATGTTGCACTTGTGTTTTGGGTGTGTTTTCTTTCTTTAGTTTGTGTGTGGCATCCCTGCCCCTCCACTGGTAAGCCTCAGCTCTGAATACCTTTTTAAGCATATTTGTATTTGAATATGTATGATTGTGCTTTTATATGGTGTTTTAAATAATTATTAATAAATTGTGAACTTGTTGATCATTGAACCTCGTCTCTGGACTGAGTATAGCGAACCTAAGTGCCTTTCTGGTGATTTAGTGTTACTTTCAGTATTCTCTGGGTGAAATTCCCAGGGTGGCGTTGTCTTTTTTTAAAACTGCAAAGAGTATCTACTTTATATCCCATCCTCGTCTCGCCACATCTGTAAACTGCTGTGGCCAGTAAAATCTAGTTGACATACGAGAGAAGGTTTTGGCTTGACCCAGGTGTCCTGCCCAAGGGACTGAGTGGGCCAACTGCACTACTGTGGATCTTAAACTCTTAGGCACAACCAACTGGTCTCCAACCCTACTGCGGCGATATAATAGCTCACCCTTTAGGAAAAATAGCTCTCTGCCTCTCTCAGTGACCTCTGTTGCATTTGTGACACTTTTTGAAAACAGGGGAGCTAAAGATGGATCCTCTCTTTGAAGCTGAGCTATTTCACCAGGTACGACTGGTAATTCGTCACATTGTGTCACTGGAACTGGTTCAGTGAACTTTGTCCCCCTCACCTTACCCTGTCGCCTCTGGGCTCTGCTCTTTCTTATGTGACCCTGACTTGATCCTTCAAAATCAGGAACATCACTGTTAGCGAATGGAAATTCACCCCAACCTAAACCTTCTTCTGCGTGATGCTTATGTTTTGACCTGGTGACTTCTACCATGGACTCAGCTGCAACACTTGGGTTGATTTCCTCTCCCCTGACTATCAGACCTCGCAAAATGGGAAGATCACGGCCCAACAAACCTGATATGGCAGTTTACTCATAACTCCCACTGAAACTAAATACAGCTTGCCGTCAATCTGAATATTAATGTTGGCAATTGGGTAATCCACATCATTACCGTGAACACACCAAACTTTTACTTTGCCGCAAAACGTGGCATCCCTGGGAAGACATTCCTGCCTAACCAAGGTACGGCTACTTCCTGAATCCAGAAGAGCCACACATGGCTTTTCCTCAATAAAAACGCATGTGGTGCGCTCATGCTGAGAAGAGGGCGCTAAAGACTCAACTTCATCTTCCTGACCTTCGACACCCCTTGAAGAAAAACACATATATGTTTTACTAACAGTCTGACTTGGACAATCTGCCCTAAAGTGACCTGTTTGACCACAAGAGTGACACACTAAAGGCCCACGTTGCTTGGTTTCCCTAGCCCGACTACTAGTGGAATTATGGGAGCCCTGCCTGAAATTCCTAGTTTTTTGACTGTTCCCACTCTCCGTCCTACCTACTATTACTGGGGCTAATTGTTTGGGACTTGCATAGCTCTTTAGTGGCCGACGGGCTGCAAGAAAAGCGTCAGCCAGCTCTGCTGCTTGCTTAGACGTGGTTGGGTTATGCTCCTCTATCCACGTGCGCAGTTCAGGATTGAGAACTCTCAGGAACTGCTCTAAAACAATGACACCACCAATTTCATCTTTGGACTTGTCTTTTGGAACTATCCACTTATCATACAGTTCTTTCAAGCGTGTCCTTAACTCTTTAGGTGTCTCGCCATCGCCCAACGTAGTGGAGGGAAATCTGAGTCTGTAAGTCTCTGCACATATTTCAAACTTTTCAAGAACAGCTTTCTTCACCTTTACATTGTCCATAATCTCATCAATGTCCATGGCTACAAAAGCAGCTCGTGCCTTACCAGTGAGAAGTGGAGCAAGATGTAGTGCCCAATCCTCGTGTGGCCACTGGCACCCGCTTGCAATCCTCTCAAAAGTTGTTAGGTAATGCTCAATGTCTTTGTCCTCGTTATAAGGCTGCATTTTAGGCCCTTTCCAAGCTGGTGGTCTTGTTAAGGAGGCAGACTGAGTTGCTGTTGTGGCCTCCATGACGCTAGATTGTAGCTGAGGCATTGTTGGATGCTCCGCAGTAGGCCTCAAATGCGTCTCTGTGTCAGCTGTTGCACCTTCCAACAGCAGCTGGTGCTCTCGACGTTCTGATTGCACTTGGAGCTGAGTGAACTGGTGCTGAATTTTCCACCAGCGATCTTCCTGCCGCTGCTTCTCCAGTTCCCATCGGGCCTCTCTGTCACTTTGTTGCCTCATAAAACCACGCAGGAGGTTAGAAAGTTCAGCAAGGTTATGCGGTTCAATACCTTGCTCTACTTCCTCTAGCTGATTGAACACTGGAGGCTCCTCACTTGCAGAGTCCATTGGCACTTGGTGCTTTTTTGGTCTAGCTCCTTTCTGCATTGCTGCTACCTACTGGCCTGGAGCCACTGCTGCCACCATTTGTGAAGTAGTCAGACTCGAACGTCAAGGAAGGTGGTAGGGAAGCAGACTACACAGACATTTCAGATTTCCAGAGGTGAGCAATTTATTTACAGTGAACTTAATTTAATGTGTAACTTAACAGAACTTTCCCCCAAATCAACTCAATTAACAAAACTCAACAGACCATGGATCTGGTAACGCAGCTCACCTCTCCTCTCTGCTGCATCTGGTAGAGACTGGCTTTAAATAGGGCCATCAATTTCCCTCCAATTGCCCAGCTAGTACCACTCACACTGTATCACACTGCCCACACTATATTTTACCATAGTGTATCATGGTGCCAGGCACACACCCACCCTGGCCATCCATGTGATGTAAAAGAAAATGTGCTTTATCCGACAGGGCCACCTTGGATAGAGGTCTGACAGAGGTTAGCATGAACACCCTGACTGGTCTGCAGCTCTTTAGCCCCAATTGCAATAGACTGTGATACACTGTGTATTCTGACACCTTTCTGTCAGAACCGAAATGAACTGTTTTCAGCAATTTGAGCTACACTAGAAACACAGGAGCTAGCTATACTAGCTCATCTATTGGATCGGACCACAAGGGCCAGTCTTCATTGCCCACGTGCATTATCGAGCCTTGGCCATCTGTGACCCTGTTCCTGGTTGACCACCGTTCCATCCTTGGACCACTTTTGATAGATACTAACCACTGCAGACTGCAGTTGCGGGATCCAGTAGTCTAGACCAGCGGTCCCCAACCCCTGAGCCATTGGTACCGGGCCGCGAGAGTTGAGGCTCGGGTGTGAAATTTATGGTTTTCAGGGTTTTTATTATTAACTCGGTTTCCCTGGGTCTTTTCCCGTGTTACAGTTGTGTGTCTTATTTTGAAAGAAATATTTACATGTTACCATAGCGACCAGAGAGCATTGTGGGGCAGAGAGGAGGACGTTACGCTGAATGTTGTGGGTGCATTTCAGGAGGACGCTGCTAATAAAGTTACACAATTACACAGTGAATTCACGTTTATTATTATATTTACAAAATACCACAGTTTTTGTCTTGGTCGTATCATTTTATTTTGTTGTATTTATCCGTGACACGTTAAAGGCTGGTCTGTGAAAATATTGTCTGACATTAAACCGGTCTGTGGTGCAAAAAAGGTTGGGGACCGCTGGTCTAGACATCACAGTTTGGCCTTTTGTCAAACTTGCTCAAATCTTTACGCTTGCCCATTTTTTTTGTTTATAATACATCAACTTTGAGGACAAAATGCTCACTTGCTCCCTAATGAATCCCACCTACTAATATAGATGCTATGATGAAGCCTGTTAGAGGCCTTAATGCTATGCCTGATTGGTCTATATTAAATGTGTGTAAGGAGCGTGACTGAGACTGTCTCCATCACTTCTTAGATCTCAACTAGAGATGGCACGATACCACTTTTTTATGTCCGATACCGATATCATAAATTTGGATATCTGCCGATACCGATATGAATCCGATATAGTGTTTTTTAATCAACAAAACTGTTTTTTAAATATCTTGCTGCATTTTGTATAAGTTCATACTCAAGTTTAAAACAACAACAACACTAAAGCTATTCTGTTATACCTGTATGCAAAAAAAAAATTTCATAGTTCAGCAATACTGATCAATCTAATAAACTTAAACCTGCTCCATCCTCCCTATTCTGGTATTTTAAAGAGTACTTAGCATAAATATTAAGCAACCTAACTAATAAGGTTCCAACTCCCAGTAAAAAAAAAAAAAAAAAAAAAATAGGGAACCACCCCTCACACTCCACCTCATGATGCTTAATCGCTGTAATCAACCTTAATTTGATGCAGTGTGAAAAAAAAATGCACAGAAATCAATTATTTTTCAAGAAATATTAAATAGATTCAACATCTTTCTTCAACAAAATTGCAGACTGCACAGATGGTACCTTCCCAAAGGAAAAAGTACTGTAGCTTACTAGGGTATATTAGACTTAACAGTTACTATATACAGTAATGGACTTCTATTCATTTTGCATCAAATTAAAACTTTGGGTGTCAGATAATTATTTATTAAAAGCTAGACATTTTAAATGAGAATAAGAAAGAAAAGTATGTCTTTGTGCCCCCTTCTCCCTGTTCATGCCCTATCGGCCCCCCTGGCTAAACTTTGCTAGATCCGCCCCTGCACAGTTACCAGCGTCAGCTACGTAGAAAAAGATCCTCGAGTAGAAAGTAATATTAAATACATTCTAACAACAGCTGATCAAGCTTAAACGTGCTGCTGTTGTTCAGCCGCTGGTTTCCTCTTTCTGGTGCAAAGTGGGCCAAAAACAAACAAGAGAGACGGACTCGCGACAGAAAAGCCGATCAGCTGATCACTGATCAGTTTCATGATTGAAGTAGCAGCAGGACAGAGAGAGAGGCAGTCACTCCATATATCGCTTGTTAAGCTTAACATGGGAATGCTTTACAAACATTCAGAGATGGACTTACACACTTGCTTTACTTCTCTCGGGATAACTCTGTCAGAGATGAAATGCCGGGTTGGTAGCGAAGCTCCAAATGCTCAACCAGACCTGGCACGTCACAGCCGCTCTATCACGTGATGCATACTGCTTCGATGTGCTATGGTTATGA